TGGGATGTGTGTAAATACCTTTCTAAAGTAGTGCTGTATCGCATTCAAAGGTGAGGATTGCAATGCTGGAGGAAATATATTAAAGAGCAGAGTCTAATTGGCCATGCTGGCAGTGTGTTCATAGAGGGGTGCTCACGGAGGGCAGTGGTGAAAAACAACAGCATGTTTGTGGAAGCCTGGGCTACATGGAAGCCAGATCCCCAGGCTGAGTCGTTTCATCCGTTCCCTAGGTTGCTCTGTGCTGTGCTGCCTCTTGCAGCACCCAGTCTGCAGGGGCTTCAGCTGCCCTGTGAGTTCTGTTGGGCCTGCAGCAGCTGGAGGAGCTACAAACTGCATGTGCAGCCCAGCGTGGAGTATTTGGGATTTAGCCTGGGCTCAAATTGGTCTGTGCTACCTTTAGGGGAGCTCAGTCAGATGAAAGGTTCCAACAGAATTGAAAAGCAAATCTTTTTGTTTTGTAAAAGCTCCCCCACAGATAGCATAGCTGAGGTGCTGTGACTGTGGCAGAGATTCCACGTTAGAAACCACACACAGCTCAAGGCAACATCTGCTGTTGCCTGCTTTGATTTATTCTTGCTGTTCCTGCTCATTAGGTGGTTTTGCACACTGGTGACCCCTTCCTGCCCCTGACGCACCAGCTCAGCACCATGCAGCTTTGCCCATGTGAGTGAGCTCTGTGGTTAGTGCCAGTAGCACCAGCCTGGCTTTTGCACTTGATGCTGTCCGTAAGGTTTGGTCCACACAAAGTTTCCATTACATGGGTTTTATTACACCTTTTTTCGTAACATCAAGCCAGATCCCTACCCCGAGTCCTTTGTGCCGTGATGCCTGGCAGAGCACGTATTTGGGGTGCAGTCGTGTTTACTTGTAGGTCTGCACGGTCTGCAATGACGGGGCAGGTATCTAGAAGCAGGGAGAGCAGAGGTCGTTATCTGGGGGGACTGAAGTCCTTCCTGCCCGTCAGGGAGGACATGAGGAGAGCACCACTTGGAACCTTGAGGACCCTGGACTGGTGCAGCTCCTAGGCTCTGCCCTTGCTCCCTCTAACCCCTCGTTTCCCCAAAACCACGCGGAGTAGCACAGCGTTCCCCAAAATGCACGGACCTAGGCAGGGGGGAAATCAACAACAACCACACCGACCATCTCAGCTGTGCTACCCTGCACAGCAGTACATGCACATGAGCCTCCTGGGCAGAAGCCCGAGCTGTGCCATCTTCTTCAGGCAAAAACTGGCCTGACAGCCCCAATAAATACTGAATAAATAGAGCCAGCGTCAGCCAAATGCTGGCAGGATGCACTGAGGCACGCGGGGCGGCCGTGGGGTGCACAGCGCTGCTCACTCAGGCAGCAGCTCTTCCAGCTCCTGCTCATCCAGCTGGTTGGTGGTGACAATGTGGTCGAGCTGCTTCATGTACCGCTCCAGGTCCTGCATGAAATGGGGGATGCGAGCCTTCTCCAGGACACCAAATTTCTTCAGGCGGTTCACATCTTCGTAGGAGACCTGGTGGGAAGCAAAGGGATGGATCAGCATGTGCAAATGAAAGGGTTCTATTCCCCTGTGACCCTCTTTGCCTGCCTGGCTGGGTTTTCTACACTCACACTGCCCAAATGGGACCATGGACTGCCAAGGGATGGAAATGAAGGCTTGAGGTAAGTTTTGAAAGAAAGACATGGGAGAAAAAAAACATCTGCAGAGGCAAAAATGCCTGCAGGGCAAGTATTTGGCTGAGCCAGGTCTCAGCTTTGGGAAAATACGTAGACAGGAGAAGCTGGTGATGCCTGCACCTGAGCTTTGGGTCAGGGCAGGATGGGTACAGCAAAAGAGGAGCCAAAGACCAAACATGAAGAGCTGTGCCCCTACATACAGGGGCTGGTGAGGAGAGATGTGGAAGGAAGTGAGATGGCCTCACAGAGCTGGAGCCAAGGCTGCGTTCGTAGTGCAGGCTGACCATAAAACCTGACCGTTTCTGGGCAGAAGGAAGGCAAAGCAGAAAGGGCTCATGATAATGCTGTGTTCCTGTTGGTGCTGCATGCAGAGCTGCCTGCACGTGGGCTGCCTGTATGCTGCTGCTTGATGTTGCTGTCTGGATAGAAGGTGAGACAGTGTCTGATACAGTGTCTCGGTGCCCTAGGAAAAATCCTATTTGCTCTCACCAGGACAGCACATCTGGCTGCCTAAAACCAGAAAGCCCCTTGCCAGTGTGGAGCTTGAACTGTGACCCCAGGCTCTTACCTTTCCAAGAGCAGCCAGCAATGGGAAGTCGATTGTCTGCCGATGTCGCAGGATGCGGAGAATCCCATCCAGGTACACCTGGTCCTTACTGAAGCAGCCTGGAAAAGAGAGAGGGCCTGGGAAACACCAGGAGATGACTCCAGGATAAACCCTATCTTCCCAAATGTGTTGGGGCTGGCAGGAAGGAAAAGACTCAGAGGATGAGCAGAGCCAGCACTGGGGTCCCCCGCCAGGGAGAAGCCTGGGCAGCAGAGAGCAGCAAGGCTCCATTCCCCAGCCCTTAGGAAAAAGGGACAGGCACCGGAGTCTCACCATTTTACACATGCTATGTGATCGCTTTTTTTTTTAACTGCTAGAATCTAAAAGCATCCTCAAAATGCTTATCTTTTTCCTCCTTTGGCTCCTTGAGGGGCTGTGCAAGGAAGGGCTAAGATCCATCAGAGTGGGAGGACGCCACGGGGCTCCCCAGGATGCCTCATCCATCCCTACCTGATGGACAGCAGCCAGAGAGGTGAAGGGGCAGCTGGGTATTGAAAAATACACCACAAAGGAAAGTGTAAATCTATATGAAAACAGAGCTGGGGATGAGGGAGGATGAGAGGGCAGCGTGGAAGGATTCTCTGGCTGGTGATGGCAAAGCCACCCAGCACCAGAATGCATCCACAGAAATACAAAAATCCCCCCAAAACATGGAAGGCTTTGTACCTGGCTGTGAGGTGTCAGTCTGGCCCCGCTTGGCCCGCACGCAGTACTCCCACCGGATGCCAGCATCCTGGACGTATTGCTCCAGGTCCTGGAAGAGCGCGGAGAAGGAGAGGCGGCTGGCCCTCTCAATGGTGTAGTAGAGCAAGGCTGCACGCCAGAGGAAGGGCTGCTTGCGGAAGAGGACACTGTGCAGGCTGGCCAAACCTTCCTCTGTGGGGTTGGCAGGCTTCAGGCTGTACTGCTTGCGGCCCTCCGAGCTGTGCCAGGGCTGGCGGGTGTTGTTCACCCCACGGATGTAGTGTGTGCCTGAGGAGATAACAGCAAGCGTCGTCAGCTGGGGACAACTTGGAGAGCCTCAAGAATCTCAACCCTACTGCGTCCATCCTGCCTGCTATCCCCACATCCCCATGACGACACTGAGGATGCTCAGCATCCTCCCTGCTGTGCCCACGGTCCTCCCAGTGCCCCACTGACCTATCTCATGGCGCAGCATGCCCTCCAGCCAGAACTGCCGGGCTCCAGACAGGTTGATGGCCAGTGTTGGCCGGCTGTCCTCCACCATCATCACAGCCTGCGACAGGAGATCATCGGTGAGCTGCACCACTACCTGCAGAGGAGAGAGGAGGAGGCAAGCAGCCACGTTAGCGATCTTTCACCGGCTCAGAAACAGCAGATGGTACTTTGGGCAACTCTTCAAAACCTCTAAAGGAAACGCACTACAACTATTCCAATCCAGAGAGGAAATACATCAAAACTAGAGATACCAGGAGGCTTCCTTGAACTGATGAAGAAATGGATGACCGCCTGCTCTAGGTGGGTGCTTGAGTAGAGGGTTGGACACGATGGCTTCCAAGATACCTCAAGCATCCTGTTTTTCAGAGATTCTGTGAAATGCTTGCCCTAACACGTTTGGTAATATTCCTGCACCCTAGGAAAGCCAAACCACATCCACTGGTGTGCTTGCAGAGAGGGGACACGCATGGTGATGGTCACATGGCTGAGCAGGGTTGGGTGGGCACTGCCCCCCGAGATGTAGCAGGATGGGCCTGGAGCCCAATACGAAGTAGCTCCTTTCAGCTAATCACAACCACAAAATCTGAGCAGGCTGTGGGGAAGCTGGCTGGCTGCCCTGCGCATCCCATCCTTCCATCCCCACCTTCTGTCCAGCTGCAGATGGCTCCCAGTGTGCTGCAGGACCAAGACAGATGGATAACCTCCCTAAAACCCAAACCTGGGAAGGTGCTGTGCACACAGCTGAGGGCAGAGCACAGCAGATTTGCACAAGCAGCATCAGTGTGCCACCACATGTTCCTACTTCCATAGCTCAAGTCTTCCAGAGCAACACTCTAGGAAATGAAGCACAAAGAGCAATGATCACTTTGCTCCAGCAGAACCTTCTCATCCATCCCTTGAGCACCGCAGTGGGAATGTTTCTCATAGGCTTCATCTGCTTTGTAGTATGTCCTACTTATAGAGCAGCTGCCAAAAATCTCTCACAAGGGAACCTAGCTCCATTCTCACATCTTCATCTCCTTTTTATTATTGCTTTTAGCGCTTCAAGAAAAGTGCAACAAGAACAGATCCATCCAACACACTTGCAGCCAAGAGCTGCCAGCCACACACATATAGCCATGCTTCCCACCTGGACATTTGTCAGCTGTGATTAACAGCACAACTGGTGAACACCTTTACACAGAAGGAAATAGCTCATGTCAGCATGATTGCTCTCTGACCCACCCTGGAGGTGGATCTTGTGCCTCTCCTGTGATACGAAGAACCAAACTCCATATAGCCAAGGTCACAGGAGGTGTTTGCATTGGCACACATCTCAAAAATCCCTCTGCCACGTATGTGTGAACTCTAAAAACCATCTGTTTCAGAGCTGAAACTGTCCAGGTTGAAAAGCAGAAACCTGACAACATTGTAATCCTGAGCATCGCCTTCAAGCTTCTCAGGTTTCACTGCAAAATTGCTAGCACAGCCCAAACCGAAGCACTGATTTACTGCTACATTATAGCTTTCGTCTCTTTTTCTTTCTAAAAAAGAGAGGAGACTAAATCAGTTTGTTTTAAACCCAGATTTATTATTGTACAATGCTGTTCATTAAAGCCAGGAGTGCAATGTAACAGAGCAACACCGACTACTGGGCAAATTAACAGCATAAAAAGACTTACATGGCAATGGTTTAACTGGATCACATACATGAAAGACAGAGGAAAGACTTGCCACTTTAATGTGCACATCCCTTCAACTTTACTTCTGTTCCAGAAAGCAATTCAAAATAATTAAAACTCGTCCTCCCACTGCCCCTCCCCACATCCAGCCTGCACTCAGAGGTCACTGCTCCAACCTCAGCCTAAGGCACAAGTCCAAACCCGGGACCCCAGTGAGCTGAGTCCTGCAGATTTTAGGAGAGGTGGCTGAAAACTGGAGACAGTTTCACATAAGCAGAAAGGAGGAGGCACATAGGAGCCAAACTCTGGTATTATTTTAACTCATTCCTATCCATTATATCAACTGGGTGTGATACGAACACAACAAGAAGCATTGCAATCCCAAATGAAAACAGCTGAGGTTGAAATCCTGGAAGCTGAGAGGGGAAGGGAAGACAAGAGAGAACTTAAAGACAAAAATGCATTTCATTGTCACAGTACTCCTCCTGCTCCTCCAAAGCCACTGCTGTGTTCTTCAGCACAGAACTAATGCCTGAACTCCTGTGACAGTCCTTTGCTGTCTGACCTACAGCTGTTCCAGGGAACACAGGATTTGATGTGCTGTGTCAGCTTGTGGGGCTCAACTTCAAGGACACCATCCAACACACAGTGCTTGGCTGGCTGGGACATCTTGCTGCCTTGTCACTCTTAGTTGTCCCTACAGGAAAAAAGAAAAACAAACCACGAGGAGGTTGGGATTTAGGATATGAGATACTGGGTAGCTGCAGAAAAGATAACCTCTTCCCTAGCATAACTGTTCTCACTTATACCTGCTTTCCATCAGCCTGTTTAAAAAGTAAATAGTCAGAAAAATACACTGCCCAGTTGTCCATGCTGTGGCAAACTCCTCAAGGACGATGACTTGTATTCAGTGGTTTTCTATGTCCCCTCTAATGTCTGTTCCACTGGGAACTGCTTCTTTGGGGTTATCCCAGCTGGCAGCTTTTGGGAGGGTGTTGCTCACTTGGCATCCCCTGAACAGCTCAAGTTTCAGTATTTGAAAAGCTGACTGAAAACAACACTGTAAGAGCACCCACACAAGTGAGAGAGAGATTGCATAAACCCAAGAGTTTAACTGCAAGAATCGAATTCCTGAGGTCAGTGCTCCATGCAGACCAACTCTGCTGTTCTCATGACATCCAGCTCTCCCCTCCTGTCTGTACCTTCATCCCCACCACCAAAGAAAACTAACCAGCCTTACGATAGCCTGATCTGCCTGTGGCTTCTTCCTCTGCTGTAAGAGGAATGCCTTGCTGAAGATGGCAACTCTTTCATCTGCAGCACAGGTTGCTCCTTATTTGATAGGGATGGATTTGCTGGAAGTTCAGACATTTTTCTCCCACTGCTGACCACAGGAGTGACACAGGGCCTATGGATTTTCTCCTCTTGTATTTCACCCAAAGGCAAAAAGCATCCCTCAGACCAGCTGCAGATTAAATTGCTTCTTCATACAGCCCTGGTTTCTAAACCTACATTCATTCTGATGCACTCTAACAGAGGAAAGAAAGCATTCTGAACACCAGGGTTCTGCTCAGGGGAGAAGGAAGTGAATATTCCTTGCTGTATAGGAGCTGCTGAATCATGGCCTGAACCTCTGATTGACCACCTGAGGCAAGCAATGGGTCAGCCATGGGAACACAGCTGAAGGCAATTCACCTGTGCTGCAGGAAGGGATGGAGCCTGGCTGCACCTCTCCTAGATCCCATTTAAATGCTGACTGCCAGTGAGGAAGGATCCTTTCCTAGAGGTTACTCCTTGTGGAGAATATTGTGAGCCTACAGCATTGGTAAGCCTTTTCCACTTATTACCTTTCTGTTGTGACAATCTTACTTAGCCTAAAACTCTGTAAGCCAATTGATTTTTACATCTCTGTACACCTATTGATTGTACACCCTGCTCAAGCAGGATTTTGCTGGATGGGGGTGGCAGCCCCAGGGATGCCTAACAAGGCCTTACCCCTGCTGCCATCTGGGTGTGCTGCCAGGGTCCATCTTGGTCAGGGAGGTCCCTTTTTGCACAAAGCTCCTCATCAAGAGACCCACAGAGAGAGATGCCTCAGCTTTAATAAACTGTAAACACCTGTGACAGAGCACTCTGTTTAAAAGGTTGAGAGCTGAATCACTTTCTCTGGATTTATACTGTAGCACGAGTCAACCATCACTGGGCTTGGCAACCCTATCAGATCACTGTACAAGGGGTCTTGGGGCAATCCTTCATGTGTAGGCACAAAGTCACCATCAGGCACAGAAGCCACTTATTTTTTTTTCCTCTCTTGTGGTAAAGAAAAGGTAAAGACAACGCTAAACCCAACTACATGAAATGGAATCTATTTCTGTTTCTATACAAGAGCTAGACAACATCAAGTGAAGTGATTAGGAAGCAGATTCAGGACAAAGAAGCACCAGTGAACTGTGCAACCTGTTGTGGGAGGTTTACAGTGGCTCAAATCTGTTAGACATATGAATGGATTCTCTTGAACACCTTCTCCTGAATAGAAGGCACTGCACTGCAGAGGCAGAAGGCCACGTGACATTGAGGGGAAAAGGGTGAAGGTCTTCTGAGCAGGTTGGGCAGGAAATGTGTTTGTTTGACAGTGCAGTGATGATGTTGTTTTGTCTCATCAGACAGAAGCTCCAAGAGCTGCTCCATGCAAAGCCAACCCTCTGGGTGCAATTCTGCATACCTCCAGGGAAGACTGCAGCTTGACTGCTCGCGTTGCACTGCCCACAGCATGTTTCTGGATTCAGCAGCTGGCACTGAAACCTGATGCTTCCACTGGAAAGCACAGATCCTTGCAAGGTCAGTGCAACTCCCATCACCATTGTTTCACAGAGTGCCCAAATTTTAAGCACAAACTCCAGCACATCCTTGTGGTCTATTAAGCAGTCTGTCCAGTTTGTGGGTGTAATGACAGAGGAAAGAGCTCCCTAAGAACTGCAGGAAGAAGCAGAGCATGCTGATGGGGCCAAAGCCTGCCAGCAGCACTGACAGCAGTGTGTGCATCTGCTCTGTACTGGCAGGGTGTGGTGGGATGGGCCGGGCCAGCACCACTGCCAGAACCTGAGGACACACTAGCCAGCATTATTTAAGAACATTTCACAATGCCTGGATTACTACACAGTACTTACCAACGGTCAGAGGTTTCTTTAGTGCAAACTGAGCAGCTGGGAAATCCATGAATAATGGAAAGCAGGCATCTGAGCTCCAGCAGCATCACCTCAGCCCTGAGCCAGAACAGAACCAGAAAAGCCTCAGAACCTGCAGCTTGGACTACAACAAAGAAACTCTTGAATATGCAAAGTTCACTGCAGTGCAAATACTTACCCATAAACACGCTCCCTGGGGTGCTGGAAACTGGCATCCTGCCTTCATCACAGCTCAGACCATCCCTCCACACCACAAGTGCCAGGGATGGGGGCACAAAAGGAGCACTCTGCACTGACATCTCCTTGGCAGCCAGTGCCACCAGCCCTGCCCATTTGCAGGCAGTTCAGATCGCTGATGCACTGAAGTGACTTTCCTTTCCTACCATGTTCCCAAATAACCATCTTCTTGGCGAGTTTTGGAAAGACTCATTTAGATGCTGCACAAGTATTTGTCCTGGGACTTCACTTGGGCCAGGCAACTCTGGTTTTTGTATTCCCTAAGGTGTTGTTTACTTGCTGATTAGCTGGAAAGAAGCAGCACAAGTTCTGATTTTGTGTTTCTGGTTGCTGCAGGGGTTGTAGCTGAAGGTCTGCAGTCACCTCGCAGCCCAGCCAGGCAGGGAAAGCAGCAGCCATGCTCGTACACCTGCAGCCCCTTGCAAACACTTTGACCACATCAGGGACAAGCTTTTGACTACGTTTTCCTCAGCTGCAGACCAACAGCCCACACTGCAACCCCAGCCCACAAATAAGCAACACCATGAGGTTTCTGGGCTGCTCCCAGTGCCTAGAAGCCTGTATCATAGGTCAAAGAGGCGTGGGAGCTGCCTGGAGTTGCAGCAGTGTGGTGGCAGTGTGCTCTTCCAGGTCTGATGGAGAAACTACTGCAGGGCTGAGAACTGTGCCAGGAAAATCCATGCTGACCCCTCTGGATCATGGTGCCTCCTGCACCCTGTCAAAGCAACACTGCAGCAAAGGTGATGGGAGAACCAGAGGGTGCTTGCAGCAGCGCAGCGCCTGGCAGCTCGGAAACCTGTGGGGCCCCATGAGATGGAGTTTCTTTTTGTAAGAAATCCATCATAATTAGTGAGCAACACAAAAGCAGCAACAGAAAAGCAAACAGCAGTGAAGGACAGACAGGGTACAGCAGAGAGAAGACAGCAAACACATACACAGGCAGCAAGGAGGGGAAGCTGCTCTGTTCCCCATCAGGGCGCAGAAATGGCAGCAAGTTTTTATCCAGTACCAGAAGCAAAGTTTGACAGTGTTTGCTATACAAAGCACAGGTGAAACATTTCCCTTTTTCCTTCCCCAGAGAAACTCAATGCAGCCTGTAATGGCTGGTTATACATAAACTGACGCTTGAATGGTTTTAAAAGCACTTATCAAAAGTTTCAGAAAAAACACAAGCCACGTACCTTGCATTCCAATGTACAAACATAATAATTGAACCCTTAGAGCCCCTGAACAAAGGAAAAATTATACAGGGCTGGACTAACAGCTAAGAAAATAAATCTTTCTGCCCAGGTAGAGCTCAATATGTTTGAGATTAACAAATAAGAATACAACAGCTGAATTCAATCAATTAATCAAATTAAGAGACAGAACACAATTGGTCCAGAAATACTTCTCACCACTTGGATCTGGGGCCGTGGAAGTGTTTGGCAGATACACTGTAGGCAGGAATAGGAGAAAGCTCCTTATACAAAGCCACGGGGCATCCCTCTTCCCTGTGAACATCCAGCTGCCAGGAATCGCTCTTGTAACACAGATAAATCCTCAGACTCCTCACCCTGCTTTATAATCCCAGTGAGCTCTGCTGTGCAGCAGGAGAGCAGCTTTGCAACCAAGCAGCTGTGACAGTGGCATCAGCAGTACAATGCAGCAGGCAGAGACCACAGATATGTTTTGTTTCCACTTTTTCACCGTGACTTTGAGATGAGAGAGAAAGGCACAGTGCTCCTGACAGGCAGGAACCCAGAGGTAAACAACAAGAAAGGAAGGAATGCATTTATACTGCTTGTTTAAATCTTCCAGATTTTTGGCTCAGTTCCTTGCAATTCCTCTGTTACAGAGCAGCAGGAGTTCTGAGCTGTTTGGAAAGGAGGGTTATTTGGCTAAATTCAGGAAGCCAGCTGAAAATCCCTCCTGCTTCACCAGACCCAGGCTTGCACTCAAGGGGCACCTCCAGAAAGCAGCTCAGGACGTGCAGCAACAAGTGGTAAGAGATGCTACAAGCTTTCCACCCTCCATCCCACACAGCTGATTTACCACTAATAACATCTTAACAAGGTATTTTCTACTCTTAAAACCTCAGAGTAGAGTTTGAAAGCACCATAACCCAGCATGTGCCAAAGAAAAGCCGGAAATCTCTCCCCCAACTCTGCCTCTGAACACACGAATGAACCCAGCTGCCACAGATTTCTGCCATACCACTGCTAGCAGAAATAGGTCATCCATCCCAACGGTAATTGATACCTCATGGACACAGCAAAATAGCCTCAGCCCTGCATGCCTGTCTACGTAGACAAGTGGTAGCTCTTCTCCTTAAGCTCAGCTCCCTTAGCTTAGAAGGGAGATATTTCTGGAATGAGAAATGCAGGCAAATCGGTGGGGCACCAGCCTCCTAACTTCAGGACTGCAAGCCAGGAGCCGTGGCAGAGATAGAAGGAAGCCACAGTTTAGAGGAGAAAAGCAGAGTAATTTACTGCAGGCTACAGAGAAAGGCAGACCTTCTTCCCTTCGTCCTTTTCTGCTCCAAGCCCTGCTGTTCTGTACAAGCCAGCTTCAGGAACACGCAGGGCAGCTGCTGGTGCAGCCCTCTCTGTGCTCCACTCTTTGCATGTGGCTCTGTGCAAAGAGGTGCTGCTCCAGCTCTCAGCTTTCCAAAAGCTGCACAAAACACACTGGCTTTAAGAGTGCATCAGGCAATGGTCAGGTTAAAAATAATCCTATAGCTGTACCATGTTTGCCCAACCCATATCCAGGCTCTTACACTGCTCTGGCCTCTTCTGGGAGCCACAAATGGCTTGAAGAAGCTGCTCAGAATGAGCTCAGTGTCTGTAAAAGCAACACAGCAATGCAGAGGATTGCTGAATTCCTTTGTGAAATACTTCTGCAAACAAAACCGCCACCAAGTTTGTTTACAGAATCCTCAACTACAAACTCAGGTCTCAGCTACTGCTTTAACTCCTGCCCTGAGACGTGAATCTCTCGAGCTTCTTTCCCCCAGCAAGTATGTTTCTTCTTTGTGTCCAAAACACTTCTTAATTCAACTCCATTATCAGAACTGATGCTTTGCTGAACAAGAGCAAAGCAGAAAAACATTCTGCACGTTTATTTCATGAACCATTAAAAAAGAAACAACCAAGGACAATGATTACCTCCCCTGCGCAGCCTTCCTTCTGCATGTACTTTCGGATAACAGACCAGATCTGGCACTTGCTCAGCAGTCTCCCACCAGTGGCAACTTCGAAGCTCTCATAGGTCCCATACTT